CGGAATGATCCGCCTAGGGTGCGGCGCATCACTCGCGTCAATTCCGAGGCCCCATCACTGCAGGATATTGAAGCAACTATCCGAAGCATGGAATCCAACAAGGCTCCAGGGGTCGATCGCATATCAGCAGAGATGCTCAAAGCTGACCCCTTGCTATCCGCACAAATGTTGCATCAACTATTCTGTAATATCCGGGACACCGCGACTTTTCTGGCCGACTGGATGCAGGGCATCTTAGTGAAGGTCCCAAAGAAGGGGGATCTGACTGTGTGCGACAATTGGCGAGGCATCATGTTACTGTATATTGTCTCAAAGTTCTGTGCAAGGTTATTCTGAATCGGATACAGGAGAAGATCGACGCGACTCTCCGACGGCAGCAGGCAGGATTCCGTGTCGGAAGATTTTGTATGGACCATATTGTCCCGCTCCGCATCATCCTGGAGCAGGTCAATGAATTCCAAGAGTCCCTTTATTTGGTATTCATTGACTACGAAAAAGCTTTCGACCGTCTCAATCTCGAGAATCTGTGGGGCGCCCTGAGACGCAACCCGAGTAGCACCCCAACAAACAATTTGAGTTGATCAACAGCTGAATAAGCAACTTTTTAGCTCAAGAAGCTTGTTTTTGCCTGAATAAGCTCTTATTCAACATTCAATGTTTGTTGGGACACTTTCATCACAATAAGTTACCGCAACTTGTTTATGACTGAAATAAGTCGTATATAAGTTTCTACAATTGATTTGTGACAAGCGTGCTACTAGAGAAGGGAGTCCCGGATAAAATCGACAACCTCATCGAAGCGCAGTATGAGCAATAATCAATACGAAACTAACGATTTTAAATTGGCTCACTACTTGACTAGCCTATTGGTCGCATGATCCAACCTGTTGCACCAAAGACAAAACCAACGATTTCACCGATCGCATTCTGAACCGAGTGGCGATCAACTTCATAAATCAGCTGAATAGTAAATACACACTTCGCAAAAATACACTAATAAAAATTCTCAAAAATACCTAGAAAATACCAAACCCCTGCAATGCGATCCAGTTCTTGAAACTGCCGAAAAAATCAGCAGCGCTGGTGATCCATAACCTCGTCTATAACATATTTAAGCTTCAACCATGCCAATGACATTTATATAAGGTCTGGGCCAACAGGCAGCTTGCTGGTGTTAGAAGCAAAAATGTTGTTAACATTACTGAACATCTGCGAACAGATAGAAATACGTCACTGCCAACATATGAGAACAGATAGAAATACGTCACTGCCGACAGCTGTTTCGTGTAAAAATATAAACATTGCAATAAAATACGAACACTACTAGACATTTGCACATTTCACTAACACCAATAAGCCCTTTGACCCAGACCTTATATAAATGTAATTGCAACCATGCAACATTTAATGCGGCAAGGTAGCAACAAATGTAATGCCTTCAAAACCATTCTTACTTTCCCGCAATGGACAATTAAAAAATGATTAAGTTGTTTTCGAATTGACGAGCACCATTTGCGTGAATCATGCTTTCCTATAGAAAACTCTATCTATTTTCCGCAACGCTGCGCGACATGTAGCAAGATTAATCATAGAGGAAGAGGAGGAGCTGTCAAATTAGACCAGAGCACCAGAGAAATTTGGCGTCACTCGAATTGTTCGCAGATGACAGGCGTTGCAATTCTGCGGAAAATACAAGGTGGTGTAGTGGTAAGCGTGATTATCTCTCACCCCAGCAGGCCTGCGTTCAATCCCAGCCGAAGCCGCCGGGATATGTTCTGAGGCATAACATAACATCTCTGATCACGCCTTCCTTTGGAAGGGAAGTAAAGCGTAAAGCCAAAGATGAATACTAAGATGAAACTGTCGGAAGAAAATCTTTCTATTTTAGTGTCCTCATTGCCCAAGCGCAATGACAGCGGAAACGAAACGGCAGCGGCAGCGGAAAACCCCGATCTGAGTAAGCCTACTTGTCGGATTGAAAACAAGTTAGAATCAAATCGACATCGGTTAGGCTTCTTGATGTCATTTGTGACAACTGTCAAACTTTCCGTTTCCGTTCCGCTTCCGTCCACATTGCGTTTGGGCCTTTACCGGTCCCTTTCATTCAATGAATACCCCCTGTATTCAAGGTAATTTTGTGGTTTTGCTGCTCCCTCGGTAGAGATAAAATTTTGCGCTCATTTTTATCAAAACAATTACACCAAAATCAGAGATGTCCCATTTTTTAATTACTCAATTAACAACTAATTGATTATTTTTTGTTCGCTATGCTGTCATTTTTGCACCAATAAGAGTGCAGCGTATGTTTGAAACGATGGGTGATGATCCAATGGAGAAGTTAATGCTTACACACTTCAATTTTTTCGCCGAGATTCCAACAGCCGAGCAGTTCTGCAATTTATTTGGCTGAGACTCAGTAAAACAATTGCCGAGGCTCAGCTAACAAATAACTATTTACTGAAATATCAGCTAACAAAAAGATATTTTGCAGAGATATCAGCAAAAGTAAATGCCGAGGTGATCTGCTGTTGGAGATTTTACCGAGCTAGATTAAGTGTGTATATCGGCATTATATAACCGATTACAAACATTTAACTTTTCGGTTCTTTAATGGATTAATCGATTATTCGAATGAAAATCGGCCATCACTAGATGAATGTGAAACGTCATTTCAAATATAAGGACCGTACATAAATAATGATACAATTTGAAAGAGATCGAGGCTAATCACAAATTACGTCCCCACGTAAACTGAAATAAACACGAGTGTTCACCGGTTGGTAAAGCCGTTGGTCCCCGGTTCATGAATTGATGGGTCGATAGGTAGGGCCCAGGTGTGGAAGCTGCCTCCCTGGCGTTGGTAGCATTGGTGCTCAGCACGGAAAACAAGATCGACGGAAAACAAATCAAGGAAGAATTTCGAAGCTGTTATGGTCTCTGAATAAGCTGCAGAGGTTTATGCTGCGAATCTGATGAGGTGGACTAAGTTTTTTTTTAGTTGGAATTGGGTTGTTTAGGGGTATTGAGGTAAATACGTATTCGTTATCTGCATTAAAAATGGAACCGAAATTCAACATTTCATCAATTTTGGTACACTGGAACTATTTTAAATAAGTACGATTACATTAGCAAAAATCACCATCTTAGCGCCCCTTGGTGGGACTTTGTATGGGAGCGAGCTGTCAACGAATAGATTTAGTGTCAAAGATCAAAAATTTAAATCTTGATTTAAAAATCGAGAGAAATGTCTACGGGATCGATAAAAATATCGTTATGCTCAGAAAACGAAGCTCTATCAGATGATGAATAAAAATCGGTATATTTTTTTCGAAGTTTAACAACCCAATTGATGCATTATGCAGAAAATGCTTTCAGTATTTTACGAAATGTAGCATGGCACGATGCTTAGAGTAATCAAAGTATTCATCCTTAGCAACGATTGGCAAACCCGAGGGCAAACTGTCAACACTCGACAATGATGCCATTTTATATAATATTTTAAGTGATCTACTTGTCAACGTGTGCCCTAATGTACCGAACAGTGTGCCATTCTGTGTCTCGGCACAGTGTGCAGAGTTGATTGCCCCTTGATTAAGACCCGTTGTATTGACCAGAAAGTGCAAGGACACAACAGCTAGAATCAGTTTTACTTGAAACCGCAGGATCCAATAACCACTAAGAAGTGGTTAGAACTAATTTATTGTTGAAACATTATTTCAATAACATAGGGGTAATGGATGTAATGTCGCCCTAAATGCCCCTAATTTGGGTCCATACATAAATTCAGTAATCGACTAAATTTTCAATAGCGTCCAAAAATATCCATTAGTCCCCATGACACGCTCATTTAGATACAATTGATAAATAGCAGATTTTTAGCGATGGGCCAAATCTTAGGTCCATAGGCCAACATTAGAGCCATTTCCCCTACGATACCAAATACCAATCGGATATATCAAGGGAAGGGAGATCTTCTGGGTTCTATTAAATACACTTGACTTGGCTCAATCAGATGTCAACATAATGAATTTGATACTGGTTTGCTATGGTAATTTCTCCTTAGCGTGAATATACTGTAAATATATACAGAGAGAGAAGGATTAGTAATTTATATTTAATTCCACCTTATTTGCTTACAGGGTTGCTTCCACTCACTTGCTCACATTAGATATTATAATGATAATTAGTACTTGTAAGTTACAAGAAAAGGCTGCAAACTAGGTGTTTGGCAACCTGTGATTTTTGTTTTCAGTGCGTCACAATCAGCAAATTAACGATTTGTGAGCGCTCCCTCTGAGTGAACGCTCACGAGTCATTAATTCGCTGATTGTGACGCACTGAAAGCGAAATTGGCAGGTTTTATGTGTCAAATACATACATTCCAACCTCTTCTTGTTTCTGTCAAGTACAAACTATCATAATAGCATCCAATGATTCCATAATTCCGAAAAACATTTTTTATAGCGAAGTGAGTGGAAGTAACCCAGTATTGCTTATCCTTGACAGATACGCGTATTTCATCTACAATGTGCAGGTCGAGTGCAAACTTCTCAGTGTCTTGTACTAATTAATACTCGACTAAATATTGGAATATATCGAAATATATTGATATTGTATTGCCCCTTACGGGAAACATGGCGCACTAGATTGGCGTATCATGGTATGGTTTATCAAGACATCAATTAAAAGCTGAGCGCTTTGCTAAAATATAAACAATTTGTGATTCTTTATCATATCCAAAGGGAAGAGAAAGGGAAATAATTTTAAAAGTTATATTTATTAGAAACATTTTTTTTGTTGACATCCGTTCTTAAAAGAGAGATAAAGCGAAGGATGTGCTTAGTAGGCCGGAAATAAGATCAAAAACCCCAGGACTCGCTGAAACACTGATGTATTATGTGTTAGCTAATGGTTTTCGCGAATTTAGCGGAGTTTGGTGAGGATTTATTTTTCTGGTTTGGTTTTAGGAATTTCACACAATGAAATCAACATTTAACGGATCAATTTTTCCAATATCATTTATTAGTATAGCTTACGTTTTAATGATGATTTTTTTTTTTCAGAGTTGGATCACAATCAAAGAAGAATAAGAGAATCAATAAAATCTGCATCGAACGAGGAAATAGTTTACTCTTTTTTAACCGAAAACTGAAACGAAGTCCTCTAGAGATTCAACTTGTGGATTTTTGTTTGCTTGCGCAGTGTACAATATACTAAGGTTAGCACTATTATCAATGCGAACGGGTAAACCTATAAAATATCAAAGGCGACAGTTTTCCATTTCGTCTCTTCGGCTTCTGGAAAGAACAGCTCTGGTAGATTTCGTTTTACTTATCATGATTTCCAATCGGGGGGAAAGCTCGTGGTTCACACTTGTTGATTTCGGTTCGAATTGCTTCCACAACTGTTGGATGCAAACATTACTCTCTATTTAAGAAATATGAGCATATAGGTTTGGAGATTGCACTTGACCATCCTTGGTTGGATTTCAATCTTAAAGTCACACTGGGTGCGACAGCCTAATGATATCTTACGACCATTTTGAAGGGTCGTGTGCCTTGTGACGCACTTGTCTTATTTGTAACTTTGTTTTTTTTTTTGAATAGCTACACTACATTAAAATATAAGAAAGAATTAGAGATATGAGTGAAGTTTCGACCTTCTGGATTTGAATGTATTTACACGATTTTAACTATCAAAAAATTGGAGTAGCTAAAACTATCTAAGAATATCTAGTTTGAGATTTTAAGAATGTATGGGCCAATTGTGTCGAATAAAAAGTAATTCCCAAATATCAATTCGACCGATTCTCTGTAAGGAACATAGGAAATATATACAGCTAAAAGTGGAGCTTCACAATCAGATAGTGACCTTTTCGAGCACAATTCACACGCACAAATATCTGCTGTTGGAAGAAAAATGTGACAAGAGAAAACAATCTTCTTAATCATTATTTGGTATCATATCCTAGCTAACTTTATTTTACAATACAGTGCGCAACTGGTTTACTACACTTCGTGTTTAGGGGAATCCCAAATTTCCTGAAACCAATCTCGATAAATTCTTCAAACGCTTTTTTTTTCACCTATCAATCTTTGTTAAGTACCCCCTGGTTCATCAATTTTTCCGCTATAACAAATCAGTACCTTTGTCAATGTAGTTTTGAAAATTATTGATTTGAAAATTTTGTTCGTGAATAAACTTTTGTGTTAATTTTTACTTTAAAATTCAAAATAGCACCCAGAATAATGTATGTTTATTCCTTTTTCTAGCTTTTCCACCGTTCAACGTTGCGCCATTTGCTCTTCAGTTCGGAAATTTGAATTGTCTTTTATTTGCGTTTGCTACGGCTCTGTTCTTAGTTCTAAACTAGCGTTCGCGTAAGTTTCACCAAATTGGTAGATCCATACTTCGTCAAATTCAACGGAAGCGCTGACGGATTCTTCTTGGACTGCGTGTGCCACGTCAGGATCTGAAAGCAACAAAAAACGGTCACTCGTTTTGCTCATCACTTGGGAAAGGCATTTGAGAGCAAACCTCAGTGCAATTGGATGCCAACAGATCGATTTCCTTAAGATCCAGCGGATCCAAACTTCTCAGGAAGCCATCCTCTTCGTACCCGGCCTTGAAGGGCATTTCCGCCTTGGGTCGGGACAGAAGGAACTTGACGCTCACTGCAAATCCGGCCATATCGATTGGATACTTGCGACCGCCGATCCACCCGTCGTAGAACCCGGTGATCGACCCATTGACCACGATCGGACTGCTGACGCCGTACTTGGAGATCAGGCCAACGGGCCACATACCCACCTTGCGAATGAAGCGTATCTGAGAAAGGGTAAGCGACAGAATTAATCGGTTTTTTATTGCGGAAGATTCGAGATCGAACCTGTTCGAAGATCTGTAAGTTGTAGGTATTGTCATCGTCGGCGAAGTAGAGGACTCCTTCGGTCGCGTTGGCACGGATCCACTGGAGGCCTCGGTTTCGATTGGACACGCCACGTGGCTTGACCTTCAGTTTGCGATATTTGGCTGGCATTGGAGCTAAGAAAAAAAAAAATGGAAATTTGTATTATGAGCGATACTTAAAAATCGAAACCAAGTCCACCTCACCTGTTAAATGGATAAATGGCACATTGATTTGCTTCAGCAGTCTCGTTACGGTTTCGGTCCGGTTGTCGGCATCCTCTACGATCAGCCAGAACAGGTTCGGCACGTGCTTGAGGGTGTAGCCGAGTCGGGTGATTTCCGCCAGCTGCTCCGGACGGCGATATGTCGGTGTGATGATGTACAGTGGGGGTAGCACCTTGGTGTCCACCGGGAATTTTAAAGGAATCTGCAAAAAACGATAGACGGTGATTATCGTTTCTTTTTCCATTATATATTTATGACAATGATGATGATGATGATGATGATTGTCAATAGCAAGGGCGTCGAACAAGGTCGCTTGAATACCTATCCTACCCACAAAGAAATTTCAATTAATCAAACTGATTGTGATGAACATTCTGCCTGGGCTCGGAAAAGCGGTAGAAACGGAAATATCGGTAATGAAGAGATAATGAGAAAAGGGTTCCGAAAAAGACGGTTTGATTGGTTTAGGGGCTCTTTGGAGAGCGAGCGAAGGGTTCGAAGCATAAATTAATAGGTTTTCGGATACTTTTATCGGTTGGCCGTCTCCGATTTCCTACCGAGAAAAAGGGAAACATGATTCACGTACGACGGGAGTTCGGTCCTCAATTAGTAGCTATCGTTCATTTTCATTAACCATAACACCACCCTGAGTGGTGGAACGAAACCAGGTTCGGTTTTTTGTTTTGTCGATATTTTCGAACGAGATGAGGTTAAGCTCACTTTTCGTCTGCGGCGGAAAAGTTCGGAAAATCCTGTCTTCCATTTCTGCCATTATCACCTGCCAATATATGGCGAAAGGATGGTACACTAATTCTGAACTATCACACAAACCGCAGACATTGAGCATGTTCAGACCATTATCAGAACTTTGTGAAACTGTGCGGTTTTGCCGTGTTCGGGTTTGATCCATCCAAATCCCAAACCACCGAATCGTGCAAAACCACTCAAATCCCGGCTCCCGTGGCTCCCGGGAGGGGGATAAATTTTCCCGCCTACTTCGAAACGGTGATGCTGTGTGCGTTGCATCAGTAAACAAAACGAGCTTCCCAGTTGTCTGGCGGCGATGCTTCGCATTTGAGGCACAGGCAGTAGGCTTTGAATATGTAGAAAGGTGGTAGGTACTCTTGCACACCGCCTACTGGATGTCGATTCTGACTGCAACCTCCGGTGAAATCGCACTCGGTGTCTACACTATCCATTGTGAATGAGGGGTTGCATTGCTCCTTCCTGCACCATCACAGGATATTGGACGCTGCTGCTAAGGTTTCCCGTATTATCGTTCGCTAAAACCGACCGGGGGAAAGGTTAAGGTACGGGTTGATCGGCAGTTGGCAGACAGACAAGTGGGTGGAAAATTTTGAACGTGCATCGGGCGTAACCTTGTGCCTTGAATTGCAAAGTGCATTCTCCGGAACGAACAGGTTAGGCATATTCGATTCGGTTGTCGGGGTGGTACCAACGGTGGGTATAAGTCTTTCCGCTTTATAGCCGAACCCAATTGAATATTAAGGTTACAGTGACTGTATCTAAAGGGCACAACTGTCCTTTAGTATTGCAGTCTTGTTTGGAAATTTAGAATTGCTATGGATACTGGAATCAGTGACTGTACATAAATCTAATGATGACGCAGTTTCTCCATTTTACAAGTGAGATCCGTTTTTCTCAACCGAGTTAAACATAATGTTCCAAGGCATTACATCGCCATATTGCCAATTTTATTTAGGCGCAAAAACTGTCAAGATTTGGACGCTTAACCTCTTCGGAAAGATGAAGAAAATCTCAAACAAAAAATCGTAACGAACACACCAAACTATACATCTCTTAAAGGGTGTTATGATCAAAATATGGTTGACTTCAACTTGAGGCATTTTTTTTAAATCGAGTATCAAAAACCTGATCATCCCTCATTTTTTAGGTGTGTGCCTGCAGAGTGATGCCTCTATTGACTTCTCTGCCTTCTTTAGTATTAGCAACCGGTGGAAACTAACGGTTTTAAATTGGCTCACTACTTGACTAGCCTATTGGTCCCAAGCAAACGATTAACGTACCACGTTCTAGTCGAAATTCTAGTACTACGCAATGTTTGTTTTGATTCGCTATGAAAGTTTGACAGATAAATGAGGGGTTATTGGTTTTTCCTATGTTTCGAGGGGTGAATCGATTAGCTTGGGACCGAAGAGAGTACCAGAGCTGAGCCAAAAAGTTGAGCACGTTATTTCGGGACCTTCTAGTCTTAGAGTTACCTCTATGCTATTAGTCCCAAGAAAATCGATTAACGTACCCCATTATTGTCTAAATTCTAGTACTACATTATATTTGTTTTAATTTGCTATGAAAGTTTGACAGATAAAATGAGGGGTTCGTGGATTTTCCTATGTTTCGAGGGGTGCATCGACCAAAGATAGTACCAGAGCTGTGCCAAAAAGTTGAGCACGTTTCTTTGGACCGTTTGGTCTTAGAGTTACGTCTATGGTATTAGTGAGCAGTTCTACTAATACATGCGTTTTACTGGTTGAAAATAAAAAAGAAACCGCTATTAAGTCGAACACTTTGACCGCTGATTTCGTGGTTGAAAATAATAAGCAAATCGAACTTACACGGCTACACTAGCTAGGATGTATTAGTGAGATCTTGCGCCGAGAAGTCAATTTTGATTTTGACATTTCAAGCTGAAGAATGCATTAGCACAAACGAAGTGACAGACGGAGCGGCTCGAAAACTTTGCTGACTAACCTGCTATTGCAATTTTTCAGTGTACCACATGGCAACACCACTACTACTGGATTGTACCACATGGCAACACTACTACTAGATTGAACTAGCATTTTCACCAAATGTACTAGAATGTATTGGTTCTATCTCTTTCACTCTACTCAAAACTGAAATGCATTAAAAAATGATAAAATGATACGCACTCTTTGCACACTGTCAAAGAATCATTGTACACAAAATCAACTTTGTTCAAATCAAAACAAAAAAACTAACCCATCTGGTGGATGATGGCACAAGCTTCCAAGAAAATTCTGTTACAGTGAACCACATTATTTAAATGGATTTCTTCGCCAGTTAGTCGTCTGTCACTTCGTTTGTGGCATTAGGTTAGGTAATACCAAAGATGAATACTAAGATGAAACTGTCGGAAGAAAAACTTTCTATTTTAGTGTCCTCTTTCACGGTCCCTTTCATCCAATGAATACCCCCCGTATTCAAGGTAATTTTGTGGTTTTGCTGCCCCCTCGGTAGAGATGAAATTTTTATCAAAACAATCACACCAAAATCAGAGTTGTCCCATTTTTTAATTACTCGATTAACGACTAATAGATTATTTTTTGTTCGCTGTGCTGCCATTTTTCCACCAATGAGAGTGCAGTACATGTTTGAAACGATCGTTGAGATGTTAATACCGTATACAAATATTTTACTTTTTGGTTCGTTAACCGATTAATCGATTATTCTAATGAAAATCGGTCATCACTAGATGAATGTGAAACGTCATTTCAAATATAAGGAGCGTACATAAATAATGATACAATTTGAAAAGGGGGCTAATCATAAATTACGTCCTCACGGTAACTGAAATAAACACGAGCAGGGCTATGCATTTTCGAAACAAAGAAAAGAAAAAAAAATCGCTTAAATTAGAGCAATATCATTTTCGTGTAAGTCATTGTGTTTCTTGTTATCGAGTCACGATGAACATTCCTCCTTTCAATCATGACTAGACTATCGCTGAAGCAAAGACTTGTTTCAATTGACGCAATGAATGACTCGAAAACTGCTTCCTTCGGTTTTTTTTCCAGTTTCACTTCAATTCTGGCTCATTCGACTTGTCACGCATCGCGTCGTCAAGCATAAAAATATAGTATCCGCACAATATCGGTTGCCGATAGGGATAGCATCCGTAGTAATAATATATTATTTTATGTTAAACGAAAATTAAATCAACGAGGCCATTCTGGAGCCCAAGATGGCGGCCATTGGGGTCAGGAAAAGTCTCAAATACCCTACAATATGGGTATTTTCGGAACGGGGACGACGCGAAGGTGCCGAAAATCGATATCCGACGCCATTTTGGAATTCAAAATAGAGACAATTAATGTCAAATACCTTGAGATAAATGTATTTTAGGAAAGGGAACAACGCGTAGTTGTCAAAAATCGATGTCAGACGCCATTTTGGAATCCAAGATGGGGGCCTCCAGGATTCAGAAAGTGTCAAATACCCAACAATATGGTTATTCTCGGAACGGGAACAACGTGTAGATGCCTAAAATCGATATCCGATGCCATTTTGGAATCCAATATGGCGTCCATCAGGTTTCATAAAAAGTGTCAAATACCCTAATATCAGGGTATTTTTTGGAACGGGGACCTTTCCGATTCCCACGACGCGTAGATGCTGAAAATCGATATTCGATGCCATTCGCAGGCCATTCAACACTTCTTCTGGAATCGGAAGCCACCATATTGAATTTCAAAATGGCGTCAGACATCGATTTCTGGCGTCTAGATGTCACCCCGATTAAAAAAAACCCACATTGATCGGTATTCGTCAGTATTTCACAGTTTCTCTGAACCAAAGCCGCCATCTTGGGTTTAAAGACCGTCTAGGATTTCAAAATGGCGTCGAATATCGATTTCCAGTCTCTAGATGCCATCCCGATTCCAAAAATACCTATATTGGTGGGTATTTGACAATATTTCCCATTTGTTCTGAAATCGGAAGCCGCCATCTTGGATTGCTAAATGGCGTCGCATATCAATTTTCGATCTGTAGCCTTGATACTGATTACAAAAAGTAGAAGGGTCTGTGCCTAGGGGCATGAACGGAAGCTTGACGTAGGACCGCTAGTGGACGGAATAAATGTGAAGAGCATTTAGTTCTTTTAATTTAACAATTATCTATTATCTCAACTCTTTCCGTTTTTGAATTGTAGGCGTACCAAATATGTAGTATTTTTTTTCAAAGGGAAAGTTGATTAAGATAATCAATCAAAATCACTTGCACCCCAGCTTCCAAGTTTGGTTACAAGATTACAACTCTGGAGAGCATTTTGTGTGGTCGTTGGGGGATTGTGGTTCTGAATATGGACAAACAAGCACAGATAAATTCTATTCCAACTCTTTACTGATGTAAGCTTGATGACCCTGAAAAGGGCCGTTTTATTGAAGAGGACATCCATGGCCACTTACGCTTGGCGTGTTTAGTGTAGGTAGCACACCTCGTAGATCAGACCGGAGATACGTTTGACACCACCACGGTGAGCCAGACGACCGATGGCGGTTATCTCGAAGAACTTTGCGATGACGCTTGGCGCTTCCTTTACCAGACCTTTTCCTCCTTTGCCACGACTAGTCAATTGTTGCTTGTTAGGTGTGAAGGAGTGGACTAGTCACCACCTTCCTACTGCTGCTATTGCTGTTCACCACGCCGTCCGAAGCGAAAATGAGCTAATGGCATACAGCAGCGCTCTTTTATATCTTTTCAGGTTAAAGCAGAATGATGTGCAACCAAGTGGTATTAAAGCTTCAAAGACTCCTCCCGTTATGAGTAGTTTGCTATCAAGTAGCTGCACTGGCTCTTTTCCTTTTGCGTACATGGCGAATGAGAACGACCCAAATTTGAGTTTAGTTCACTCATAATTGCCAAAAGTGCAGGAACTCAGCGTTGAGTAAATTTGTCTCATGGTTTCCTGTGGAAAACCTAAAAAATCTGCCAGAAAATGAGGAAATTGACGAAAATTTTATTCAGTCTCGGAGTAGTACCAATAGACTGAGTGAATCAAATCTTTACTTTTCTCAAATTCGAGAATTTTTCCCTGAAAAAAAAACCTGGGAAAACCTGAGGCAAATTTACTCATCGCTGAGTTCCTGCACTTTATTTCTTATTTCTGAGATAACTAAACTTAATTTTGGGTCGTTCTCATTCGCCGTGATATCACCTTGAAAGATATCGGCGCCGGTGGTTAGCGTGATTACCTCTTACCCCAGCAGGCTTGGGTTCAATCTCAGTCGCACCGGCATGTTCTGAGGCATAACATATCTGATCCCACCTTCCTTTGGGAAGTAAAGCCGTTGGTCCTCTGTTCATGAGTTGATGGGTCGATTGGTAGGGTCCAGGTGTGGGAGCTGCCTCCCTGGCGTCGGTAGCATTGGAGCTCAGTACATTGATCGATTCTCTTCATCGACACTCTCTTTCGTAAATAACTCGGCTTCACAAATGTTTCCTGCCGTCTTCGTCGAATTAGATGCTAGATTGTTGCTTCTTCCATCGAAAATATCCGGTCGTGGCGATTCAAAGTTGATAAAGGTTGATCAAAATAATTTGTACCCCTGCTTCCAGTTTGATTACATGAGCATTCTGTGTAATCGTTGGTTCTGAATATGGACAAACAGGCAGATGAATTCTATTCCTACTCTTTACTGTAATAAGCTTGGTGGCCCTGAAAAGAGCCGTTTTGTTGCCAAAGTTGGTGATGGTTTAACCTCGGAAACCAAACACTTCAAAACGTAGATGACATCCATGGCCGCTTACGCTTGGCGTGTTTAGTGTAGGTGACAGCATCACGGATCTCATTTTTCAGGAACACCTTCAGCACACCTCGTAAATCAGACCGGAGATACGTTAGACACCGCCACGGCGAGCCAGACGACGGATGGTGGTTATCTCGAAGAATTTGCGTTTGGTTCTGAATATGGCGATGAGTGTGCAAATTATTACGTGATTCCATCCTCCCTATTCGCACGCGCCCGAGGATCGGAGGCGAATGCCACTTCGACTTGTTTCGTCTACTTACTACTCTCTGACGACTGTGCTGGGGAAGCAGCATATGCATGTAGGTAATTGGTGGATTTGTTAGTTAATTCGACGCTTTTGGACAATGCTGGACATTTACCAGTTTTTCAATAGTTTCTTGTTGAAAATGAACATTTGGAAGCATTGTTATCGATGCGTAGCCATATTTCTGATCGATTGGTGATAAAATTATTGAAATTGGACCAGGGGCAGCTGAGTTATTAACGTTCAAAATCTTTCTTAATTTGTTACATGTTCCATTTTCGGTTTTCACAAAGTGTACCCCCATATAGAAATCAAAGACGTGTCCTACGTCAAAAGAAACCAGTTGTCTCCTCTTCCTCTTAGGTCCAGATTATAAGATAGAGCTGGAATTAGGGCGTAACAGGCTTTGTAAACAATGACTTCTATCGATGATTTCTAGGAACTCAAGACACGCCCATGCAAACCAGCATACGTCTTCCTCTACCCGATGGTGTTGTTGATTTGCGTTTGCGAGCCTTAGCTTTCTAGAAATCATCGAAAGAAGTCATTGTTTACAAAAACTGTTACGCCTTAATTCCAGCTCTATCTAGAATTGTACAATTCGACAGTGAGCATGCTGATCGATTCGATTTTCTCTTTGCATTGCTACAGCTAAGCGAAATAATTTTCTAGAATTTGTTCAATGCAGAGTTGTAAAAGGTTGTAGGTATTGGCTATCAAAAGCAGAAACATTAAATCTAGCGAGTTATTAACAAAAGAGAAAATCTTCGAATATAATCGATCATCGCGTTTACGCCCTTATGCATGCTCACTCTCGATTTGCTAATTTACAACTGAAAAAGCAGCATTTTTGCCAGTATCTTTCAGAAATTTAGCAGAATGGGCAAACAATGGTCAGATAGATAAATGAAAATAATTTTACAGGGAACCACCCCAACAAACGCTACCATTGCAAACACATACACATAAAAAAGGCAAGTTTATAAATTGACATCCGGCCAGAGGCTTTTATCGGGACGTCCAGAAATTGGTATGCAAAATATGTTCGATGTTTACCATTCCGATAATGTGAAGCATGTGCGCTCCATCGACCGGAAAAGCGAGCATAAAATCCAGTTTCTCTCTAGTGGCAGTTTGGATTTTTAGTCCAAGGGTAGCAAAATCTTACTTTTATCAATTTAGTTCAAGCGATTAGTCAGCTTGAAGTAATTGTATTTACGCTCTTTAAATCTCTGCAATTTCCGCAAAGTTTTTCTTCCAAAAGGATCACATTTCCAAGCACTTGGATCCGAACAGAGAGCAACCAACTGGTAGGTAGAAAGCTTAACTTTACAGCTCATAAATCCTCCATAAATATCGCAAACCTTTTAGCGGAATAAAATGACGCACCGAGGCGCAAAAAAGTGGAACAAATCTCCCGGCAAGCAAAGCTGATGGATAGATGAACGGGCGGACGGAGTGAGGTGAGGAGTCATTGAGTACAGAGTTCTCAACAAGTACTGCTAAGTAGAAGAATGTGACAGAAAAAAAAAGAATCATAAACTCCATGCTTCCTTCTTACGAGATTGGAGGAGTGCTCCCGTAGACCCTTTCTTCTAGTGGTGTAGAAGTGTAGAAGACCCGTGGCACAGAGCTACCGAATCAACGTTTCATAAAAGCAAACGAGCTGGAAAGCGGAAGTGAAGTGATAACACTTACTCTTTTTAAATACTGCTGCATTGTACGACCGAGCGAGCGAGTGAGCATTTTCTTCCCAACTCTTTGACAGTGTGATAAGAACGAGCAGTTCTCAGTCTTTTTTTTTTACTAAGCGGAACTAATTTTTTCGCGAACGGAAGAAATAGTGTGAAAATGAGTGCCGTAGGTAATCGGATTTAGGCATGTAGGTTTCGATCCCGAGAGCGATGCAGAAATCTCATACTTACATCACTACTTCTAGCTGATTGTTGACGATTTCCGGAGATATCATTCTCCCCGGGGGCTGCAGTCGTTGTCGTCGTCGTCGTCGTACTGGTAGTTGTGCTCGTTGAAGTGCTTGCTGTGCTACTGCTACTACTGCTGCTGCTGCTGCTACTAGTTCCTAAGGTTGTGGTAGTCCGGTCCGTTGATTTCGTGCCACCTCCCGGTCGGACATCGTTGAAGGTGAGACTCCTGGAACGGATCTTGTCAACGATGGATGGCTGCTCCTGGCCGTCGTCTGGACCCAGATCGTCTCCGATCAGGGCTTGCGCTTCCGCCGGAGGCTGGCCAGGTCCATTGCTTCCGGCTAGCGCTGCTGAAGAGCTGCTAACGAAATTTGCTATCGAAATCTGATTTTGACACAGGATTATGAACACCGAACTGATCAGCAGCGTCAGGTACAGTTTGTAGGATTTGATCATCCTTCCTACGGATTGGCTGAGCGAAGCCGTTGCGCGGGATTGCGAAAGCACGGTTTTTGGGGGGGCCAGTTGGCGGAATTCTTTAGATGTGCGATTCAGCTACTGACGGTGGTAGCCTGGGCAGGCTGATGGGCGTGCGGCTGGGTAGACGCATTGATATCTGGAATGGGATCGAACAGAATGAACGGGGAGTTAGATATTAGAATATTGGTACATTTTGAATTAACAAGTTACAGTTCTGGTACCCCGCTCTAATGACAGAAGATTGCTTGTTAGAAATTCTAATTAGAGAAGAATAACAAAAGAATCGAACTCTAAAGATAGTTCCAAAGAAATACAGAGGATAACTTTTAATAAAAGATAATTTTTAGATGAATTCTGAAGGAGATTTGAGGAGAATTGCGAGAATTTCTAAAGAATGTTGCTAGAATGCTTAATTATTGTGATACCAGCAGCCGTGTTGCGGTTCTGTTTTTCTTGTATGTGTGGTTTTATTACACAATAATGTAGAGTTGTCAAAAATCGGACTGTGTTTATTTACCATGGGGAATTAGTGAAGTAACTCAACTTATTGTTACTATTATTGTTATTGTAGGCAGGTCAAATGTCGCAGAGGATTGTAAAGCAGTTCGATAGTGTAGTCATGGCAGTCAAGGTTCTTCAGGGATCACCTTTAGAAAAGAAAAATGTGTTTAAAATTGAAAAATTAAACGAAGAAGAGTATTTGATTCTACCCCAGTCGCTACCATCAGATTCGTCGAGATCGTATATTTCGGTTAATTTCTTATGAAATTTTCCCTTATCTAGCGCGAGTTGCTTCCACTCATCGTAGGTAAGGTCTCCAAAACGTTGCATCGACTGATGAACACTGTCCCACCAAGTGAAGCTGGGCCTACAAGCTCGTTACTGTGGAGCTCTCAACCACGCAGCACATCGAAGGGGATGAGAACGGTTTCGTCTCCGAACATGCCCCCACAAGCGCATTTGATAAATGCGGACCTTTTTTGTGATTCGCTTTTTACCAAGCAAACGATTCACGGATGCGTTAGCAACAGATCCATTTTCACTTTGGCACAAGTTCACCATATTCTGCACCACTTGTTTCTCGTATCCCCGGATAGACGTTCGACAGCAACTTGAGTCCCGACAATCATGGCAGGAGCTATAACAGACTCATAAATCACACGACCCAACTGCCAGGATGGATTGTACTTTTTTAAGAAGTCCATCACGGCTCTTGAAACTCACACAGCATTCCTACAACGAACCCTCACAGTCATAGGGCGTTCTAGTTTAGCTGTAAGGTACCGCATAGGCTCAGTGGTTTTATAATACCGCCCACCAATCTGGATTTCAGTCAAAGCCTCCCCCTTTTGTCGTGACCGGACCGAGGTTTCCAGCCTCGGCCACGGCAACACGAATTAGCAATGCAGCTCTCACGGGTGCGGCTGCTTCTATTGCTGCTGCTGCTGCTGTTTCTGTAGTTGCTGTTTCTGCTGCTGCTGGTGGTCCGTCACCTCCAAAATGGTTTTAACCCCCAAATGGTTTTAACTAAAGTCAAAACTTTAAACGCGTTTTTCTCGAAACCACATTTTTTTATCGGGCGAAGATTTTTCTCAGAAACTATAAGAGATATTGACTTGAATCTTTGCGCATTTTGTTCCTTATTAAATTCTTTGGAGCTTCTCCCACTTTCAGCCAAAAATATTAACATTTAACATTGTTTGAAGCACCTTAAAGCTGCAAAAAAGCGGGCTAAAAATCGCCTGTTTTTTCATATGGCCGCCATTTTGTTAATTTGCAAGATTTTTTGCTGCCAACGGGAGAAGCTCCAGAGAATCTTATGCAGATTATAATTTCATCACGAAATCTGTTTCAGATGAAGCCGTTCCAGAGAAAAGTCTTCGCCCGTCCAGGCGTTTGCGGCGAACAGGGGTTTGTTTGCCGCCATTTTGTGACGTCAATAATGTCTTTTTTTATGTCGAAAAAAATTTATTTGTAAACTTTAATGTTCAATAAACAAGAATCCCAAAGAGTTAGGCGCATTACTATTCATTTTCCTTGAAAAAAAAATAATTGAAAAACAGGCCGAAAAAAGGCAAAAGATTGGGAATACCCCCTTAATTGAGGAAGGGGAGCATTATATCCACCCATTTGGGAGAATTTTATCTACCCTCTCGGGGGACTTTCATCTACCATCTCCGAGATGTTTCATCCATCAGGTCATGGCAATTCTAACTATTTAAAAATTTCCTCAGTCCATCCATCAGGTAATGGAAATTCTTATCTACCATCCGTCCCAGAATTACCAGGTCATGGTAATTCTATCTACCATCCATCAGGTCATGGTAATTCTATCTACCATCCATCAGGTCATGGTAATTCTATCTACCATCCATCAGGTCATGGTAATTCTATCTACCATCCATCAGGTCATGGTAATTCTTTCTATCATCCATCAGGTCATGGTCATTCTATCTACCATCCATCAGGTCATGGCAAGTTTTTCAAAATAATTCTTCAGTTCTTTAGTCATTCCACTATACTTACACTATCGTACCAACTGTGCGATTGTCGTGACCGGAACGAGGTTTCCAGCCTCGGCCACGGCAACACGAATTAGCGATGCAGCTCTCACGGGTGCGGCTGCTTCTATTGCTGCTGCTGCTGCTGTTTCTGCTGCTGCTGGTGGTCCGTCACCTCCAAAATTCGTTACAAGAATGACTTCAACGAGTTTTTTTTTTTAGTTTAAATGATCTTTATTTTAGTTTAACTTGGACGATTACCATATAAATTTTTACTAAGTGATTTAATTGCTTTCTTCATCTTTAGGTATGGGCAAAATTCAAAATTTGTTTTACAGAATTAGTCCTAGACTTAGTACACGGTCGACCACCTTGGTGGGATTGGTTTGTTTTGTTTTTAGAATTTGAAGAGAAACTACTTAATACTACTATTGACAGCTTAAAACTAACCTACTCTACTATATACACTTAACATACTATGTACAAATTGCTTATTAAAGCATGTTCAGAAAGATTGCATTTTTGAATAAATTTAGTTGTCATATCATCAATTTTGGAATCTACTTTGGGAATTTCTGCCTCTTGATGGAGGTCTGCTATTCTTGTGTCGAATGGACGATCTAGGATCATCCTCAACACTCTATTCTGTGCAACCTGGATTTTGTTCCTGTGGGTCTGAGCGCACGACTCCCACACCGGGGCGGCATAGAAGATCGCGGGGGCTATGATCTGTTTGTAAACAGCCAGTTTGTTTTGCCTTGAGAGGCGGGATCTGCGGCAAATGAGCGGATACAAACACCTAACCAAGGCGGAGCACTTAACTAGGGTTTTCTCTATGTGCGAGCGGAACAGGAGCTTCTCATCGAACAACATCCCGAGATAAGTAACATCAGTGGACCACTCGACCCTTGTACCATCCATTATTACGGTACAGGAGGGAGACGGTTTAAGTTTTGGTGATTGTCTGTGAAGGAACATGATCGCTTGGGTTTTCGAGGCGTTGATTTTGATTTTCCACGAGGTGGCATAATCAGTAAAGGTGTCAAGGCATCGTTGCAGCTTGTTCGTAATTTCACGAGGCATCCTACCCTTGACGGCTATCGCGGTGTCATCTGCGAACAGAAAGAACACGCAACCGTCTCCTAGAGGAGGGATGTCCGACGTGTAGATGCTGTAAAGCAGTGGTCCCAGCAGACTCCCTTGCGGAACACCTGCTGGGATTGGAAATTGTCCCGAAAGGGAACTATTCAACGACACCCTGAACGACCTTTGCTGGAGATAGTTACGGGTGATTTTCACAAGGTATGGTGGAAAGTTGGAGTTACAAAGCTTGTATATAAGTCCGTCGTGCCAGACATTGTCAAACGCCTTTTCGACGTCTAACAAGGCCATGGCTGTGGACTTGGATACAGCTTTGTTACTTCGGATGTTATTCATCACCCGCACTAGCTGATGATTGGTGGAATGCCCCTTGCGGAACCCGAACTGTTCCGGAAGAAGAATGTCATGTTCCTCCACAAACTTGTTTAGTCGGCTGAGGATCAATTTTTCGAACAGCTTGCTCAGCGCTGAGAGCAGGCTAATCGGTCTGTAGCTTGACGGTAGTGAAGGGTCTTTCCCAGGTTTGCGGATCGGGATGATTTTTGCCACCTTCCAGATGCTTGGAAAGTAGTGCAGCTCCAAGCATCTGTTGAGGATGGCAGCCAGCAGCGAGTGCACCCTCGCGCTGAGATTTTTCAACTCTAGGTTGAATATTCCGTCAAACCCGGGAGCCTTCATGTTCGTACTGTGTTTCAGCGCTGAGCAAATTTGTTCCTCTGTAATCCGTTCTTCTGGAGGGACGGTACAAGGGGAGGCATCTAACGTCTGGACGCACTGCACAACCTGGTTCTCGAGTGGACTTGGGATTGTAGAGCCAAGCAAATGCGACTGGGCAATGTGCTCCCCAATTGCATTGGCCTTCTCTTCGTTGGTGATAAGCCGTTCGTCATTGACTCTAAGTGGTGGAATGGGCTTGGGGTGAGACTTCAGCACCTTGGCAACCTTCCAGAATGGTCTGGAACGGTCGTCCAGGTTCTGAACGAGCCGCCCGAAACTCTCGTTCCGGATTGAGACCATTCTGGAAGCGATCTGCCGATTCAGATCGACCATTTCGTATTTACGCTGCAGATCCCCAGTCCGCTGAAACTGGCGTCTACGAACATTTCTGAGCCGAATCAAGAGTTTGGTGTGGGAATCAATTGCTTGAAACTTACCCCTCACAGGAACTCGTCGAACGCACTCTTCGTCAGCCACGGATATGGCTTGATGGAGACCCTCCAGGGCCCGGTCGATGTCCTCCACTGTGTCGAGCGGTGGGTTGTCGTCGATGTGGCGGTCGACCACGCGTCGAAACTGGACCCAGTTGACTCGATGGTAGTCCTTCCGCTGGCACGGTGCAGGGGCCACGTTGTAGCCCAGCTCGGTCAGCACCGGTTGGTGGTCCGAACTCAGGTCGTTGACGGCAACCGGCTTGGCTAATCTGGTGTTTGCCAAGAACAGGTCCAGCGTCGATGGGTTGCCCGTCGGTGATGTGAAGGTTGGTTCGTCCGGAAACCAGACGGAATAGAGACCATGCTGGGAATGGTCGAATAGC